GAGAGAGAGAGAGAGAGAGAGAGAGAGAGAGAGAGAGAGAGAGATGAACTTTTACATTTGCATTCATCAAAAAACCATTACAACCAAGAAAAGTAAAGAAAAGGCCAACGGGCCCTTAAGCAAGGGAAGAAAAACTATGATCATCCTCAAGGATGTCCAAAAATACTTGAGGAATACATATATTATAAATATCTCCTATGTCCCACACCAAGGTATCCTCAATCGCCCTTTGGGCACAAAAATGAGCCGTGTTGTTGTATCCCCTATGAGTATGAACAAATAAAACATTATGGAATAATTTCAACCAATCAAACTTATCTCCCTCCTCCGACCGATCCCTCCATAGTTGTCTTTGCTTGAATTTTGCATATATTCCACCACACTTGCATTATCCTCTTCAATAATAACCCCATCTACCTTATACATCCAATCAAGAAGGAGCTTTTCAATATAGTGCATAGCCATCATCTCCACCTAAGTATTATCCCAATGAATGATACTCCAACCAGCTGCAACCTCCAACTGACCATTGCTATATCGAATAACTATACCAATCCCCCCAGCATTGGACCTGCGTAGAGCTCCATCCACATTAATTTTCAACCAACTTGTGGGGGGGGGGACACCAAGAAGAAGAACATAACAATCCAAAGGATTGGTTGGTGAACCGTTGCTCCAGGCTAAAAGAAAAATAATCCTTCTTGGTGGATTCTAGAATATTGGTAGTCATTACAGTGGGAGAGCACTTAGCTCTGCCTTTCTTAATGTCATTTATGTTTACCCAACTATAATAAACACCTTGACAATACATCAAAACCCATTTATCATTGGCATTACGGTGATTCCTCAGAGCAAACTGTAACTCTTTAAACAAAGAGAAATGTGGGGTGAGAAACCCCCATCCTTCTAAGCACTTCAGGATTTCCAAGAGCTGTGTACATTTTTTTGTGATGTGATCCATATCTTCATGCTCGTTACATCCAATCGGGCATATGAAATCTGCTCC